AAACCCTGAGCCCTTAACCCTAAAGCCTAAGTCAGGGAACCTTGCCAGAAGGACGGCATCTTTTGAAGCTTGGGTTTCCCCACAGGCTTCGAACATCTCTGCTCGGAAGAATTACCAAATGATGGATTTAGGGGTAGGGTTTTAGCTTTTGAGGTTTAGGGTCTAGGGTTTTAGGGTTTAGGGTTTTAGGGTTTAGGGTTTTAGGGTTTAGGGATGTTACCCTCAATGATGAAGAGTCAAATGGAAAAGAGCATGGAAATGAAATGGAAACTGGATCCAGATGTAGGGGAGGCATGGGATGATGGAGGTTTTAGGTTCAAAAGTTTGAGCTTCCAAAGAACTAGGAGTTCTCTTGGCAGGCTCCTTTGAAACAGGGAGTCCCCGTATTGGGGCATAGCTTTGGGCCCCTTTGGGCTGGAGTACGGCGCTCGCATGTTCGGAACATGCATAAAGTAGCATGTTGACGTCTGTTTGAGGTGGGCCTATACTATAATCGTACAAGGATTCTTGTAACTATCCCTGCAAAGCCAGTTTCCATGTTCCTTTCCTTTTCATTTGACATTCCGTTGGTAGTAATAACGTGGGCCGCTTCGTAACCCTACATATCCCCTACAACCCCGTTCAAGGGACCATATGTAATCCTCTCCCCCTAATGTTAAAACCCTGCACCCCCTCCCCTGGTATGAAAGATTCCAGTATACAGTAATTGGAGCATTTAATCTCGGTGGGTGGGGGTATTTGGGTATTGTGGGTGGAATTGGAAATGATTTAGGCCTCTACGTTACAGCTTCGAAGCTTCGGGTCTGGGGTCGGCAAGCGCCCACAAGCTAACGACTCTGCAAACTTTTTGGAAACCATTTTAGGGTTTATCTGCGACCCCAATTCCCTGCAGTTAAGCAGTAATGTCTCCCTGCTTGATAAGTATAAACCACAAAGCTGTGGGTTAGGGATTCCTGACAAGCGCGTGCTACCGAGTGCCTGCCCCACACATGAACGGCCCTGTTGCATAGACCTCCAAAAGACAGCGAAATCTGGCCCCGAACCCTCTAAGCAGCCCTGAACCCTAAACCCCAGAGCCCTATACCCTAAGCCCTATAAACCTAAACCCCAGAGCCCTATATCCTAAGCCCTATAAATCTCAACCCCAAAGCCCTATACCCTAAGCCCTATAACCCTAAACCCCAGAGCCCTAAACCTTAATGCCGCTGGGCAACCTGCGCAAAGGATGAAAACGTGTACCTCGGCTGCTTCTGGAAAGGCTCAAGCTTGCAGGGTTTAGCCATATATGGTAGTTTCCCAAAATAAGGGGACCCCAATGTCGACCCCAATATACTATAGTCCTTATTATGGGACCCCCAAAATGGTACCCCTAATTTTGGGATACCCCCATATTAGGGTTTAGGGTTTAGGGTTTCCAGAGCTTGGAGTGTTGTGAAACACTAGCGTTGTCCACATTAGGAACCAGAAGGAGAACAAGTTATAATCTGGTTATGCATTGGGTGGTTGCCACTTAGGTTTAGATGGATGTGAGCCACTGTCTAAACTCCTAGTATCCCCCTTAATAACCCCCATAGTAATCCCCCATATAATCCCTAAAAAAAAAAAACCTTTAAGGAGTTTAGACTATAGCTCATGTAGCGTATGAGTTTGTAGAATTTGGGGTTGTTGGGGGTTCTGGGCATAGCTTATGGCTCAAAGATGGTATGGCTCGACGCTCCGGTTTCAAAGGGTTGCTGGGCTCTACTAGGGTTTAGGGTTTAGGGTTTAGGGTTAGAGGCTCAATGTAAAAGTTTAACTGGCACTTGCAACTAAGTTACAACCAAATTAGGGGACTCAGGGGGCTGGTACTGGAGCTATAAGCACGGAGATAATTGGGTTCTAATTACCTTGAACCTCCAAGTATCAGTAGGGTGTCGAAGAAGGTCAGCGACGTCACACAATGTTCTGGGATACTCACTACGGAACGCAAGCAACATGCTGCGCAGGAATTTCTTATCGGAGCTGGCGCTCCTTTCATTAGCCACGACCCGGAAGATTTGAGTGCAAGTCGTGGGGCCAAAAAACCAGCTACGACTATGATTACTATTATTACTAGTATTACTATTACTACTATTACTACTATTCTTGTTATTGCCACTTTTGATCTTGATGGGCATGTTCAGTTGAATTTGGGGTGCGGGAGGTAAAGGTGCCTTGGGATTCAGGATTCAAGATGCCGCCATGGAAGGGTTTTCGGAGGAACGTGCAGTGATGCACGTTAGGGTTTAGGGTTTAGGGTTTAGGGTTCAGGGTTTAGGGTTTAGGGGCTTTTGTAGCAGTGGATCATAGCGGGGTGCAACTGCGCCAGAAAAATCCCGAAGCCGAGACCCTGAACTTTACTAAGAAACCCCGAAGCCTAGACCCTGATCTGTAGCGAGCTCGTCCATCGACCCTGCTTCAGTGGAATGTTTCCTGGCCGCAAGGATATGCAGGGCTCTGACCCCTAATGATGGAGAATCAAATGGAAAAGAAATTTGAAAAATGAAATGGACATTGGGATTATATGGGAGTTTCCCAAAATTAGGGGTACCTTTTCTGGGGCTGCCCATAGTATGGACTATAGCACATTAGGGTCTACATTGGGGTCCCCCTATTTTGGGAAAGTACCATATAGGGGTTCTATCGCCACAAGTAGACCTGTCTTGCAATGGGTCTTCAGGCCTCTCCTGCGTTTTGGCTTACGACTTGTTAGGGACTACATAAGGACAGTACTAAACAACAATTGAGATCCTTATGTCCACTGTTGAGGGTCCCTTAGTAAGGCTAATATTGACAGTAGCTCATATGACGTCTAGCATTGCACAGTCCACAGATAGGAGCCAACGAAATCTCTATGAACCCCCAGCTTTCAAGGAGAACCTCCGAAACCCAAGACACTAAACCCATGAACCCTAAAAACCCCTAATTGCTAAATCAAAGAGCCTGATAAAGGCCAAAGCCGACATCGTTGATCTTTTCCTTGCCATTCTGTTGTGTGTTCTACGGGCTAGGTACCCTGAAAAGGGCGTTAGCGGATGATATAGGGTACATATACAAACGTATAGGCATGCACAAAAGCTTAGACCATGAGTTTGCTGGACTCTTTCTGGGGGTTCTAGCCTAGTTTTAGGGGGGCTGACATGGAGGCTATGTGAGGTGAAGGAGTATGCAGAATCCCAAGGCAAAATAAAGACGATATAAGTCATACAAGGATGAAAGAAGATTCTGTGGGTTCGCGAGTTGGGATCTAGAGCTTCAGAGTTTCGATCATGTGGTCTGGGCTCTGGTGCTGAGGCTCTCCTATGTGGCTGCTTAAGAATCTACACTATAATGGGCCACATTATTTCCCACGTGCTTAACCAATGGTTTTTACCCTGGACTTGGCTGCAAAACAGGCGTCAAGCCCTTAACCCCAAGCGCTAGGGCTAGAGTCACCTGGCTTAGTAGTACTTACCCACAAGTTAGTCGGTGAAACCTACAAAACTGAATGTGGGTTACAAGTACATGGGATTCAGGCTGCTCCTTGGGTACCGCATAGAACCTCCCAAACAGGTCCCATAAAGAGACTGTCCTTTTAAAAGAAGGCTAAGGGGTTCTATCTTTACCTTGGGGAATGTACAAAAGTCAGGCGTTCAGGCTTAGGATTGAGTCGCTGAGGCTGTCCAAAGTTTAGGGCTTTCGATTGAAGGTGCAACGTGAAGCATGAAGACTTTAAAGGTACTGCCCACAGAGTCACGCAGAGGTTCAGTTTGCAAGTGGCACAACACCTGCAAGCATTTAGGAATTTTGAGGCTTACGACTCACGCTCCGGGGTACTTACGATTAGTGAACCCTTTTAGGGGGACCATTCTTATGAGCACCCGAGGACCCGAATTTTTCAGGAGGTATCAAGTGGATGCGGATTGCCAAACACAGACATGGGGTTTTGAAGCTAAACGCAGAAACACAAAACCCCCAGACCGCTAAACTCTACACTCTCAATCCCTCAACGCTGCACCCTAAACCCCTAAACCCTACACCCTAGACCCCTAATCCCCAAACCCTAGAGCCCCACACCCTAACCGTTAGCCTTAAACCGCGTGGCATGCGCGACGGTGTCTGAAACACGCAGGGAACTTACGCAGCTCGGGTTTAGGATGTAGATCATCAATCTAAGGAAATCACAGGTTGAGGATTAGGGTTCAAGGAATTTTTCTGCATACCAGTATTATGCTTGCTTCTTTCGAATTCCTCAACAGCACACCAGCTTAAACTTGTGATGGCGCCTGGCATCTGGGGTGCAGATCTGGGGATCTGAAGGGGGGTTCAAGCTTCGCAGGGGCGTAAAGGAATTCAATAGCGGAGAAGCAAATGGACGAGAAAATCACTGGCGAAATGGAAGCTGGGTTTGAGGTTTCGGGTTTAAGGTCTAGGAATTATGTCATCTAGGGTCATGGAACTCGAGCAGGGTTGTGGACTCTATTGTGCTATAGCTAAATGAAGATTATAGAGCATTCTATGTTTTACTGTTTTCCCAATCCAGTGAGGCGGTGGGTTGGGAGCTGATTGAAACGAACTCTGACCTGTTAGCCTGTTGCCCCAAAAATCTGACCAACCATGAAAAATCAAAAGTAACTGCATGGATCCTAGCTTAGCACGGAGCTCTCGATCAATGCTATCGGACTCCAAATGAAATGATCCACCTCAGAGAAACGACGCAGACTCTGCGAAACGCTGGGCAAGCTCCAAACCATCACAGCCGCAAAAAAAAATGTTCAGAGTTTAGGGTTTAGGGTTTAGGGAAACATGTCTACCTTAGTGACCTCTGCGAATCTCCGTAAGCCACAAGACAACCCAACCCTCTGCATCCTCAAACCCGGTCTTGCGCGACCGATCCAACTTCCGCATCGCAATCTTCAGCCTTCCTACTTGGTAATACACGGTTTAGGGTTTAGGGTTTAGGGTGGTAATGAGGGTTGCTGTTAAGGAACTTAAATTAAGTTACCATAATGGGTATATATAGTAAATAATAGGGTTTCCCCAATATAGTAACTTAATTTAAGTTCCTTAACAGCAACCCAGTAATGTGGTTTAGTGTTCACGGCTTAAGGGTTTAGAGCTCAGGGGTTTGGGCTTCAGGGGTTGAGGGCTTAGGGGCTAGGGTTTAGGGGTTTAAGAGCTTTAAATTCTGAAGCTAAAGCCAATCAACAAAAACATGTGCCCTGACCTTTCCACAACAGACTATCCGCCCGTGCAGTACAAACTGGGGTTGCTGTTAAGGAAATTAAGTTAAGTTATCATAATGGGTATACATAGTCATTAGCGTGGTTCTCGCATTAAAGTGACTTAGCAGCTACCCAGCAAAAAGCATGCAAACTCAGAGAAGCCGGAAACCGAACAAAAAAAAATGAAACCCTAACACCTACACCCCAAATCATTTTCGGGGGCAGTGCTCAAAATAAAACCATAGCTCAAAACCATCGGCTCCTCTTACAGGTGTTTACATCGGAGTGGCGGGGAGTAATCCCCATAACTATCCGCGTTGACTCCCGAAACATAAGGAGGTATTTTTTTCAGGTGCTCTTTGTCAATCTACAGGAGTCCCCATAATACAGATTGTGTTATTTTGAGGACTAGATTGGGGTCCCTATTCATGGACTCGCACACAATAACTAAATTCACTCTCCCACTTCCCCTTAAGTAGATAGAATATGGGGTATATGGGGATTTTATTATAATGTACCCAAAACCATATTCTATCTACTTGGTAGTTTCCCTAAATAAGGGGACCCCAATATAGGGATTATAACCCCTATATATACCCTACAAAAATAAAGTAGTTTCCATTTTCTTTTCCATTATTCCCTATAAAACCCAAGGATATACCCCGTATTCTATCTACTTGAAGCGTTGCGACCTAGCGTCGGCCACTGAGGGCGCTGCGGCGGCCGTGGAGCCGGCGCTCTTGGATTCCATTCTGAGCCTCGGGCTAGATAGCGTAAACTTAGGGTCCCTTCAAAAGTGGCTATATGGGGTGTATATATATGTATATATATATATAGATAGATATATATATATTTGTGTATTTATATGTATGAAAGGCTTAGTGATTTGGGTTCAATATATATATATATGAAAGGCTTTAGTGCTTTGGGTTCAGGGCTTAGGCTTTTGGGCTTCCAGCCCTTCAGGGATCCTGTCAAAAGGATATGGGGCATCTCAAGGTTGGGAGGGGAGCTTTGGGGGTCTCAGGGACTAGAGTATATTGGGGTCTATTATGGGGTCCCCCTATTTAGGGAAACTACTTTCTAGGGCTTAGGGCTTAAAGTTTAGGGCTTCTTCAGGGATTCGGGACTTCAGGGGTTTTGGGCGTAGAGGTCGGGAGAAAAGGGTGTAGGGTTGGAGCCTGAGGGTTTGGGCAACATGCTAAACCCAGATCCCCAAACCCTGTGGTTTGAGGCTTTAAAGACTTGAGGTTCAAGACCTTACGGCTTCTGGGCGTCGGTGCAGTCAGGGTTCGGCGTTCAGGTTTGGGGGCTAGATATCCCTTGTTGGCCAGGAATGAAGGAATCAAAAGTCAGTTACGGGGGTTCAACGGCTCTTCACGGAACACGGACGCCAGGGCAAAAGCAGCTGGGGGTTCTACCGGTCTACTCGAAGATGTTGTGAAGGCAGTTGGTACAGATACATGAAATATTTAATAACAGCTAGGTACATGCTTGGAGCTTCAGGGTTTCAACCTGTCGGGGCTTCAGGGATTCAGCCTTATCAAGCCCCAGGGTTGCCGGTTCAAGGGCTAAAGATCTCAGCTTCAGGGTTGCCCGTTGAAGGATATAGGGGAGCAGATTAACCTCTAAAATCCTTGCGCACTCTGCCCGTGCCCTCGACTGTGTACTACCCCCTGTCGCTTCTTGCACGGAAGCTGGGAAAGCAAACGAAACTTGTTACGTAAACCTTGGCAAAAACATTCACACAAAATGTATGAAAGTTCTAGGGTGGGTACACTGGCTGTTGCACAAGAGACAGCATGCTATTTTGCAGGCTGCAAGCGGCTACCACAATATTGCGGGTGTATCCGCGTCGTTCCAATTAAGCAAGTCCGGATGCATGTTAAACATCCAACTTGGGGGTCGACATCAGCGCTGCTGTATGACTGCATCCCTAAGCACACTCGAAATCTTGCACCCATCACCCCTCACCACAATGCCTGAACCCCGAACCTGAACCATCGTCCTATTCCTTGCATGCAGCTCAAGGAACTGTGGTCGCCGAAGGAGGTCCACAATGAAACACAATGCAGGGCTAGGTTGTTGGGCTCGGATCTTCCGAACTTGAGGGTGTGCACTTTTCAGGGTGTTAGATGCTGGTGTAGGGGCTCCTATGGTTGCTGGTGTGGGCATGTTGCGGTTGAGGCGGCTTGGTTTTCCGGATGAGGACTTTAAAGGGTTTAGGTGTTGTCTCCAAGCTAGTCTTGAATGATCTTTGACTAGATAACCCACCAGAACTCAAATCACCAGCTCAACAACGGTAAGAAAAGCCAGATTTGAGGTACTCACAATCAAAGTTCCCCTCATTGCTATACCTGCGCCGCATGTCATGTAGACTAATAGCCTTTTGGGCCTATTCGGGGGGATTGGTTGTAGTGCCCAGCGATCAGGATAAGGTGCGCTGGTGGGTGTTCAGCTGCGGACGAAAGCATCAATCACCAAGGAGAGGTTCTTAATTCAGGGACCCTAAACCCTAAATCCTAAACCCAACCTTTTTGGTACAAAGAACACTAAACCCTAAACCTTTTCGTACAAAGTACACGAAACCCTAAGCCCTAAACCCTTTTGGTACAAAGTACACTAAACCCTAAACCCTTTTGGTACAAACTACACTAAACCCTAGACCCTAAACCCTTTTGGAACAAACTACACAATTCTCAAAAACTGCTTCATCTCTGGGGTTTCTATAGCCATGGCTTGATTCTCTGAGGGCTGTCAGAATCATCGGTCCCT